GAGAGCGGTCTTGTCACTATAGCTCAGATGCTGCTGCGCTGGTGTGACAAGGATAGTGAAATATTCAATACTTTATGTACGCTAATTTGGCTATTTGCACATTGTCCCTACAAGCGCCACGTAAGTTTGCTACTCATGACGTTTATTTCGAGCATTCCTATATAATTGTTTACCATCTTTTTCTTTTAATGTTCCACACAGATAATTCGGGAGTATATGACGACTCCTGAAGCATTATATGTGGTGCGGGAGACTAAAAAACTTGTTGCGCGTAAAGAGCGCATGAATCAAAATGTACGCAAGCCTGTTGCACCGTCACGTGCTCCCAAACAGCAACTATTCCGCAGTCGTGCGTTACCCAGCCTCGAACCCGACTACGGCGTCATACATAATAAGCCGTATACATTTGTATCGTCGATATTTGCATTTGATATGCTGCTAGCTGAACTGGAAATTGAAGTCAATTAAATGTATTTCTTTTATTGTTGTTTTAGTGTATATGATTAACAAATTCATTTTTTTATCCGTTGTATGTAAGAATTTCCGTAACAAGAATTTTCATATTTGATTTGTTTTCTATACCAGATACGAGAGTTTTCCAAAACACATGGATACAAAGCATTATAAGAAGTTTGTGTTCAAAAATGCATCAAACCACAGCATCAGTCTCTTTTATTTCTACACTATAATTGATGGAAATGCCTTATTTGCGCAATTAAGTTCCAATGCGGCATTTAACCGTGGTTGCGCATATTGGTCATTTCCTCAAATTATAGTTTCGAAATAAAAGAGACTGATGCTTTGGCTTGATGCATTTTTGAACACAGACTTCTAACGCTTTCTATCGATTGTATTGATGCGTTCTGGAATATAGCCATACTATCAGAAGACTATCCGATATTCATATATATCAAATAGACTAGTTCGCTGTACAATACTTTTTGTCGGCTACGACTATGATTACGTTAATATATCCACTGTAATTAATTGCCGTAAATGTTAGTTAAAA